TCCGGTTTAGACTATTAATCTTCAGTAACCCATGCTTGTCGTGGGAGGCGACTAACAGAATCGGGTGGTCAGGCTCGCTGGCTTGGTTGACACATGTCATCGGTTCCCAATTGTGCAGATGCTCATACTGTTGATCACTGGACTGTCTGGTCCAGACTCGATTATTTACACACCGCTGCCATACAGCTGGAATATTGCTGATTGCGGCGTAACACTAAACTCACTCAGATGATAAATCTTCAAAACCTCTTATATGAAACCTTAACTGTCCTTACAAGTGTTGATCAGGAAACTAACAATCTGATTTTTATGTCATGAAGTAAGGCTCAGTATGCCATCGGGTCATTGCAACCTCGTCTCTTTTGTCTGCTCCAGCCTCTAATATTTTGAAGTTGGCTTAAAAACACCCGTATACAAAGTATATCGGTATGTGTGTCTTGTTATTATCGATTCAGCTACACTAAACTAAACAGATGGCTTAAACAGATTTTCTTTCATCCAGTCCTTGATAGAACTAAAGGTGGATGTGTATGACAAAGATGACACATCCAGGGATGACCACATGGACACACTCTCTAAGCTGATCAACATCCAAGCTGCTCCCACACAACAAGAAGCTGTGTATATTCCATACACATTGTGGGGAAGGACGACGTGAGTCAGACTAAGATATATCTGCGATGATAACAGGGAGTTGGGTTGAGAGGCTAGAACAAAACAAGATGGACTATTCTTTTATACTTTTTATTCATAAATGCTTCAAAATAACGAGTTTGCTGTGAATGGTCATCGGTCTCGCACCAACATAATGTCAATTGACCTGATGCACGTAAACATCACAGCAATATTCCAGCTGTCTGTAAATAGTAGAGTGTGGATCAGACAATCAAGTGATCAATATAACCATAGTTCTACACAAATGAGATACGATGGCTTGTGTCAACCAAGTCAGCGAGTCTGTCCACCCGATCCCGTTAGTCGCCTCTTTAGTTAAAAAGATAGAGTGAACTATTTTCCAGGTTAAAGATTGAAGTCCGAGCCTACTGTGACCCGGACTGGTACGGATCTACGTGCGAGAAACATTGCAAGGCCACTCCTGACCACAGTCACTACACGTGCCACCCACACACAGGAGCTACAATGTGCTTTGAAGGTATGCTCAGAAAGCTGGTGTGAGCGTTGATGTGAACTGTTATTTGGACCTTAAAAAGTTCCAGAAAGACCTATTTATGAATATCGCTCCTTTCTTGGGACGGGTACTTCACAAAAGCAAGTTTTCTCCTATTGTTGAAGATAGAAACTTGCAGTATCGATGCCAATGAAGCTGCGTTAATTGTTTAGTCGTAGAACCATTCACATTACTTGTAGAGTTTAAGTTCTTTAAGCATGGTCACTTCCAGTGGCAAGGCAGGTCCCCTGCCAATTCGGCGAAGTGTAAGGTAAGATGATTTTTTATTGGTCCCTATTTTAACTATGCAAGTTCATTAGAATGTGTTTAAAAGTTTCGTTGTTCAAATAGAAAAGTAAATAAAGTTTCCGCAAAAGTACCGTCCCAGATTTCGTATTGGTTTAGATTATGGTCCTTAGTATGGTGACGGAAATAACCTTTATCCACGATTTCCTCGCGTGTTTGCAGTTGTCGTTAAACCATGGTTTTCATATGTGAAGAACAGCAGAGGACTTAGGGATACATTCATCAACTATGATGTTCATCAGAAACCATTTTATGGGATCAAGAATGTCCATGAAATGTTCAGATTTCAATTTGTTAATACACATAGTATCATATAAAAGTTAGTTTGTATTCCACGAAAGCTTTGAAATGAAAAGAGTGAATCTTAAGATTTGAGAGGTTGATCTCCCCCACCTATTAAATTACCTAATTTAAGTTCACTCATGTGCATATCGTCCCATTTTGGGGACGCAATTATGCAGTGTAAAAGTATGGAAAAAATTATTTACTGGTAAAATGACCTCATTTCTTTCATTGCTTGCCAAAAGAAACCAGCTCACAAAATTTGATAGATTGTAAGACCCTAATGGGTTAATTGACAAAAGTTTGAGTTGTAAGAAATGGATGCCTAGAATGGATGAATTAAATCTTACGGTTAACCTTGTATCCACCATTGTCATTTGAGATGTCGACCAGGCAGATATACAAGTGCTCTGTCGAATTTTACTGTGCCATAAACTAAATTTCGTAATTATAACAAGGATTTGTGTCATGTGTTGTATAACGATAAAATGTTGGCAAAGAACATATGAACCCGGTTATCCAGACGTCCCTATTTAAAGTGTTGAAGTAATTGTTGAGTCACTTTTGAGGATGATACCCATTTGCATGTTTAGACGTTCATCTGACAGTGATCATCCAGCGGGATATCAGGACTGTTGGTGTGGATTAAAAGGATTTCAGTGAAACATTTTGCTGTTTACTGCATTAATTTCACTCAGTTTCATTAATAACATTGCAGGTTGGAAGGGAGACAACTGCAATCAGGACATCGATGAATGCACAGAAAGTGACCACATTTGTGAAAATGGGGGAAGTTGTACAAATACACCCGGAAGTTTCGAGTGTGCTTGTGTGGCGGGGATCAAAGGTAAGTAGACTGTATCTGTAGTCAGTACACTGACAGATTCACAAAAAGAAAAGGCCACATGCAATACATTGTGCACTAACATGGCTATGAATAAATCGTCCCCCCTCCCTTGCACATCAGAGTATACATATGAAATTATAACAAACGCACAAACCCGCCGTATATATTCAATTATTTTAAGTGCACCCTTATTTTGAAAAATATATTTACACACATATCTGCACTGAAATGCACCCATAAAAGCGCGCACCAATCATATTGTGTACCTGCTTGAAACATCGGTTGTAACTCCACCTTGGTAGAAGGGTTAAACGCCGTTAAATGAAACAGTACCCGGTGGCAAGAAGTCTGTAAGTTGTAAAACTAAATGTTCATTGATGCTTTTATTTGCTACGTAATTCCTAAAATTTGTTTAGGAAAACTATGTGAAAACATCATCAACCAGTGTGCACTGAAGCCATGTCTGAACGGAGGGACGTGTGACGGACACGAATCGGACTTCAATTGCGCATGCCCAGTTGAGTGGACTGGAGACACATGCGCAGATAAAGTTAACTTCTGTGAGAGTTCCCCTTGTAACATGGGCCAATGTACACCGGATCTCTTGACCGCAACTCGGTTCAAGTGTGACTGTGATTTTCCATGGGTAGGGGGGAGATGCAACCAAAGTGTTGGTAAGTGAAATAATGTCATACACTCTCTTATGTTCTTGTATGTTTTGTCGTTCGTTAGTGTCTAGGGGCGGTGGGGTAACCTAGTGGTTAAAGCGTTCGCTCGTCACTCCGAATTCCCGTGTTCGATTCCACTCATGGGTACAATGTGTGAAACCCATTTCTGGCGCCCCCAGCAGTGATCTATTGGTGTAATGTTGCTAAAAGCTGCGTAAAACCATACTCACTCTCTCACAGTGTCTTAAGCCTAATACATGTATACGTAAGTATAAAACCAAATTGTGAAATCAGTAAGTAACAACAGAAAATCATTGAAGAATCAACAAAATATTTTGAACGACATACTAAGACGTTTACGTTAATACAATGCGGCAAAATTGGTGAAAATTACCTAGTAGTAACAAATTGAATACATCAAGCATAATGAAGGAGTTACAGCAATCACGGATGTCCAGGATTGTTCGAACGTCTTGAGTGAGGGGACCTACATGTTTCCTGGAGAGGGGATCACCACACAGGTATTTCAACATGGACGTGAGCAAACATCCAAGGGAGGCTACTATATGTCGATGTCACGAGCAAAACCGATATTATGCGAAAGCCTCATTCACTTTGACACAGAAAAGTATAGTTAACAACTCCTTTATTTCTTATGATGCGACGTTTCGGCATAGCTTCTTATACCGTTGTCAAGCAAGAGTAAAGTAATACAGCACAGAACCGACTTATATACATGTGACAGGGATTAAGTAAGACAACATGAGGGAATACATCAAAGGGATTAACAACAACAATGGGATAGGTAATAATACAATAAAAATGGGAGGAAGTCAGTGTTGGGGAGGTGGAACAAGGTATACATAGCAGATGGGGTAGGCAATAATACAATAACAATGGGAGGAAGCCAGTGTTGGGGAGGTGGAACAAGGTATACATAGCAGATGGGGTAGGTAATAATACAATAACAATGGGAGGAAGCCAGTGTTGGGGAGGTTGAACAAGGTATACATAGCAGATGGGGTAGGTAATAATACAATAACAATGGGAGGAAGCCAGTGTTGGGGATGTGGAACAAGGTATACATAGCAGTTGGGGTAGGTAATAATACAATAACAATGGGAGGAAGCCAGTGTTGGGGATGTGGAACAAGGTATACATAGGAGATGGAGTAGGTAATGATACAATAACAAGGGGAGGAAGCCAATGTCGGGAGGTGGAACAAGGTAAACATAGCAGATGGGGTAGGTAATAATACAATAACAATGGGAGGAAGCCAGTGTTGGGGAGGTGGAACAAGGTATACATAGCAGATGGGGTAAGTAATAATAATAATAGTTATTATCCATAAAGTATTATACTTTTCTATTATCCATCAACTTCTAAAATGACAATCAATCACTTTGACACATAATGTTAGAAGAATTTAGGTGACAATATGCAATAAATGAAGACAAACTGCTGTTATGTCTTAAAACAACACAAAGGTGACTTGTTTGGTTTTCGTTCTGGAGAAAACAGATGGGTTGTGATATCCTGCCAGGGAATGGAGTCAGATGTATGTCGTGTCCTGTTTGTTTGACATAAAAGCTGTAGATAATCAATTTGAACTCAGTTCATTTGACAAATTGTCCAGTACGTACATTGTGAAGTTAGAGTTCATCCGTGCTTTTGTTGTCGATTTGTGATTTGTTATAAATGCATTCTAAGAAATCTTTTTTGTATTCAGACATTTTCAACATCACACTCCTGGGTGAGATTGATCATACAAATAGAGGTGAGCTGGCTGTCGGCTTGAAGAGACTCGTCATCGAACTCGGGGGAATTCCAGGAAAAGTGGATGTCACCTTTAGAACAAATACAAAGAAAGAAAGCAAGTAAGTGACAAGCAGAGTTGACCAGTACAAGAACATATGACTTTGCAATGACGTTGATACTAGTATTTAAATGTCCAGTCGTGCAGTTAAGGTATAACTCATTACCGAGTTTGTATGTTATGTGCACAGGGTTCGAATCTTTGTTTGGAGGATAATTTAAAAACATAAAAATCTAGACTTTTGCAATCGTATATTGTTTTTATATATTCCAAATTTGAACGAAATCAGTGAAGAAATGACTTTTTGAGAAAATTCTACTGCTACACTCGTTACAAAAAATACACAAGGGGTGACACTCGCGATGCTGAAAACCTGATCGAAAATCAGACAGCCCGACTGTTTTAACGTGCGGTTCAATCAAACCTTACGTTTTTCTCAAAACATTGTATTGAACTTGTAGTTAATTCTTTTACTTTTCTGCTCATCGTATTCAATTTGTCTACCTGCTTTTCATTTTTAAACACACACCCTCGCATTAACACTACCCTCATTCTTTGAACAAACGTCTGGCCTCTCTTCGGTAAACATCGACAGTTTCCGTAGATTTTTAGTGACTAGCGACTCAGCCTGGTTCCCGGGGTCTGCTGTGCTAACGCTTCGACACATGGATCTGAACGACCACACATATTAATTATAGCTTGCATCTATATTTTAGCAATTTTGGTTTAAACAGTATTTAATTCCTCAGATGACATATATATGTATTCGAACCCCTGTGTGTTATGTGCCTTTCAGTTACACCACAACGCAAGTACATCTCCACTCTGCAGTGGAAAACGGCTCAATTCTGGAGAGTTCTTCATTTGAAAGAATCTTCGAATCCAACCCTGACGAAGTCATTGATGAATATTTGCCTCTTCCGTTGTTCCCTCCCCGAGAAGAAGAGGAGGTGAAAGCGAAGGTGATGCCCACAGTGATGGATTCCAATGTCGTATTACTGCTTATGTTACAATGTATGCCATTATTTGCTTTAGTACCTGATGTAAATCAAATTACTAGAGATGTTACATATTTGTGTTCATTCAGCAATATTCCACGTAAATGTCGCCGGTCTGCAAATGACGAGTCCAGATCAGACAATCCAGTGATTTAGTAAAGGTTCCAAGGAACTATTTCCTTACCTGAATCCTCGTATAACATCTGATGTAGCTTAAGGTATCATTTGGAACTACAAATGAGTACAATTCAATCTTTTTCTGCAGTATGTGTGGTCGACAAGATCAATTCAGATCACTACATGTCAATATGGGCGTGTTTCAGAGTCCACATGACAACTTGGACACAAACCAATATGTGTCGGCCATTCTACCTCCTGTAGGACTTGTCCTGATGACCGTGCTGCTTCTGCTGGCTTTCTGCACCTGGAGGAGACGATCGTAAGTGGTACAAGACATACTCATTGATAACATGCTTCATATTATGAAGACAGGTGTCAAGGACGACAGCAAGTTTGACGAACGTAGCTTTCAAATTAGCCATATTAACTGCAATCGGACTATATACTGTCCATCAAGACATATTTATGAGCCGACCCAATTTGAACTTGGGTTGTTTTGTATGAGAAAATGCATCCATAAAGGGAGACACATGAATATGAACCTTTGAAATTACATAAACTTGATAAATTTGTTTTAGACTTATACATATCGATACATGAAGAGTGCCACTATAGGTGAAGGCTCAATATATTCATGTTATAGACACCAGTAACACTGAACGTTAGATTCGACACATGTGACAAACAAAATCTCACTGCAATGCACAAATATTTATTGTGTGAGCATTTGACGTGAACAATTGATATAATTTTGTATTTCAAGAGACAAGCGGGAAAATCGACTCAGGACTGTCGTGACGGTTGTGCCATGCAACAGGAACCTAAACAGACCCGGTACAAACACAGGAAATCTTCATGATGCAAGTGTATCTTCTAACGGCAGCACTTGTACCCCCATCCATGACGTAGATGAAGGATCTCTCGACACACACTGTGATGACACGTCACATATCCAAGTAGATACTGGAGTTGTGATAGTTCAGCTAGTGCGTCGTCATGATGACAAGGCACCACCTGACACACACTGTGATGACGCAGCACACATTGACGTCGGTACTGGAGCTATGACCCTTCAGCCAGTGCGACGTCAGGGTGGCAGCGTGTCCCTGGATGGCAACGCGCGTCACGGTAACGAGGCACCACCTAACGCACACTGTGATGACGTATCACACATCAACGTAGGTACTGGAGTTGTGACCTTTGACAGTGGAAGACTACACGGTTCCAGCGAGGCTCTGGATGACAACGCGCGTCAATGGGACTTCGAAGATCGCCCTCATTTCACGTCACATACAGGCCTACCTCTTGACATGCTCCCATGTATCTCTGTACATGATCCGACTCAGACCAGGAACTATGAACCGTTTGATCGTTGTGAGGAAGAGGATGAAGAGTGCACTGTCGTCGATGACAACAACGTTGAGGACATCTCAGAGGAAAACCCCTACGTTCTTCTTGTAGCTATGAAAAGATAGAGTCATAGTTGCTCCAGAAAATTGATTGGTCAACAAAGAACAACTTCGAAATTAAATGGATGGTAGGGGCACCTCATGATTTTGAGTAATACATTCTTATAATGTACACTGCTAACATGACTCTTGCTCAATGTAATCTATTACATTCTACAATGCTAGGAGATCTAAGTATCCCCCACCCCTTCGTACTGAGGATGATAAACTCCACCTCACTACGACCTTGCCCTGACAATTTCAGATTGACTGTTGTCTTATATTTACGGCTCCATATGGATATCACCACCAGTTGTAAATACGTATATTGATGTACATATTATATCAGCTAAGATGCAGCGCGACTGTAACGTTATCGTCAGGCAGCCAGTTTCAGTTTTCAAATAAAGCTTTCTTTTTCACTGTTATGGTATTCACGAGACTTTGGTCACTCCATTTGCAAACGTTTGAAGAAAGGCTAGCTATGGAACACAGCGTACATGCAACGATCATCTGACGAAAATAACTGAAAATACATGCGGACAACGTTCGTTCATACAGGCATTGAACTTGGTTGTAACATATTTCTGCTTCCTTGAATTAGGGCAGCATATTTATTTTCTGTGTCAGTTTCTCATCTCCCGACCGACACTCAAGTCAAAACATTGATTACACATCAGTCTCGTTTCCTGTTGAATGGGTTCCGTCCTATTGCGCAACTTAGTACAATAACCAGTCCAGCAGAATTTTGAGAGCAAATCGTTCAACTGGATATATAGATATTAATAAGCATTATTTGACACATCTAATCACTTGTATATTGCAACACTACGCTCCTTCAAGTCGTTGCAAACACGTCGTGCAGCGTGCTCTGTCGTACAGCGTGCTCTGTCGTACAGCGTGCTCTGACAAACGGAAATCTGGAAATTCACTAGAAAAGTTTGGCGTCTGGTACGGACTTAGTATTATATCAATCATATTGTGCGGTACAGAACTGCTCTAAATGAGCGCAAAGAACATATAACATTTGTAACCAGTGAGCCAGATGACTTGTGAATCATTTTACGACCTCATCAAACAGGGGGCAGTCTGTGACGTCTTAGTTGAGGTCATGCTGCCTACACCTCGCCATAAAATATAGAAATACGATGTTATTAAAGTTTAAAATTAAAATACATTTGTAAATACCATTCTGTTATGACCATAGTTGTTCGTTATGTCTATTTTCACTTTCACACGAGAAAATTCGGATCGGCTGAAAGGTAGGTCATTGTCTGAATAGGTTAATGAGACTCGGGTTTCGGTTTGGGTTCGACCATTGTCGACATGTATAAATTAATTACCTGCATATTTTTCTCGTACATATATCAGAGATGATTTTATTCGCTCACAGTCTTCTGATAAGCTTACAATAAAAATCTTAGTCGCTTAGGGAAATTAGAGTATAGTTGCTTTGTTGAATACCGTGTTCTAACCAACACGAATTTCAGTTAGACAACGCCAGGAACTACTTTCAGACCAGTACGAATCCAACAATAATTGCTGATTGCTGCGACGTTTACTTCTGTTCATGTTTGCAACATCGTAACCAGAAACGGCATTTGAAAAAAATACACAACAATTCTGTTTATATTTAATGCCAGAAACTTTACTGCCTGATTGATTTCGTTTACAGTCAGTTGATATTTATCTTCAACTCGAGTTTTACCGACCCGGAAGCACCAGTATCTGTTGATACACTCTCTCTCGATTGTGAAGTCGCCGAGACTCGTTGTGTTTTCCCAGAACACCCCTGGACAATATGACTGACATTTTCTTGTTGAACCTCACTGGTTCTCTTGTAAGCCCGGATTGCGTTACTTCTGTGGCCGGTCCGATTTGCAATAACTGTTCATCCACTCCCGAGTCTGGTAGCACAGGTCGCCCGCAAGGAATGATTGGTATAGTACCCTATATATATGTATAATAAACAAACAACGTTATTTAATCATAAAAAACGATAGATGCAAACATCTGCAGGTTAATGTGTACGAAAGTACAAAATAAAATATGTCAATGAATGAATTTCTCGATTTGCTGCGATAAAAGACGTGAAAGCGCAAACGTTTTGCCCTTATATTGCATAATGAGTTAGTGAGTGAATTGGGGTTTAACACAGCTTTCAATTGTTGTTTTTTTATTATATCGCGGCGATGTCAGTTTACGGCAGGGGGAAAGTCTGCATCATCAATGTAAATATGTGATTCAGTGAAACCTCCGAGCGTCGGCTGGTACTGACGTACCAAGGGTAATACTACAATGCAGGGCACTACAGCAATGGCCCCTAACCTTACTGCTTGTGAAACTGTTCTCCGTCGCAGAAAAGTTTCTGAGCTCCCGGGCGGGATTAGAACCCACGACCTTCGGGTTTCTAGCCGAACGCTCTGACCATTGAGGTTAAAACCCCCCGTCCCCCATATTGCATAAAATACTTTCCTAGTAATAAGAAATTAGTT